ATCCTGTTCAACACTGAGGCAAGGATGTGAGTTACCAGAGCTATGGCATAGCTGCTCGTGACATGGGAGAGCTGAGATTTTTATAGTTTCTATATGGATTTTTTGTGGTTTGAATGGATTGGTTATGTTTTTATTTGATAACTAAACAAGCAAGCAAGTGGAGTTCCATCTATTCAGGATTTTCAGCCTGGGGTTAATTCATAGACTCTTTGCCATAAAAACCTACTATAATTGTTGTAGTATCACCAAACCCTTCTCTTAAAAATGCACACACTTCCTTTCCTCTTTTCAACAGAAACAATAAAAAGAGGAGGAAAGAGAGCAAAATGGTGATGGAAAGGGTAGCAGAGCTGGGAAGGGAAAGAAGATGGTGGAGATGAGGCAAGGCCAAGTAGAAGATAGACAGAGAAGATATAAAGATAATCAATAATCTTCAAACTAGTTTTCAAAGATAGTTTAATGTTTTTAGTAATGATCTGGACAGCAGGCAGACTAATTAGGAAAGTACTTGTGGCTGCAGCCACATTTTACCATTGTAAAGTGAGTGTCCAGTGTGTGTCTGGGAAGCAAAGATGACAGCAGTGTGGTACTTAAGAATCTTTGAGCGATGCAACTACTCTGAGTAAATATATGCTTTGTTTTCCAAAGGAAATCAGTCACTGGGGAACATGGGAACCCTCTGGGTCAACCTTCCTCAGTTTATGCCCTCAGATGAGTTGAATGTCAATCCCAGATTATTCCATTATTGTGAACATTGGGAAACATGAAAGTTGAATTCCAATACATTTTCCATATTGGGGAGGCTATTGTGGACAGCAGATACCTTCTGGCAGAAGTCTAGGGCTAACAACATCAATAATCAAAATTATTCCAATTGTCAAGTATTTCTCAAAGCCTATCTTAAAAGTAAGTGCCAGTATATTAATACTTCCTGACAGCCATACATTTTTATATTTTTCAAAGAGTATTAGATCTTTAATATATAAAGAATACATCTGAAAATACCACTGTAATAAACCTTCACAGTTTTCTAGGTCCTTTAAAACATTTTTTGCTGACAAGAATGTGAAGAAGAGTTGCGGGATTATATTTTCAAAGAAGACTGTTGCTTATACATTCAAGACATCACCTCTACTGAAGGCAAGATTTCAAAAGAGCCCTTTTTTAATACATTCTATTGTTTCACACTGTACTGTCTGCCTCCATTCCCAAGTCTTCCAGAAAAGAAAATCTTTTAAAATGACACCTAAAAGCATGTTGACAATTTCTAAGCTAAACTGATCAAAAGAAAAGAGCTGAGAAACAGGACGTCATTTGAAGTGCAAAACAAAACTTTTTGATTCCTGTTATGGATATTCAGTTACTTAAAACTACGGTGGTATTTAGACCATTGAAACTGAGTGTATGTTTTTTGCAAGCATGGACAAGGAAAATGTTTTGGAAATCTGAATATGAAAGGTAAGAGACTGCTAAACTACAAAATTACAGGATACCCAGATTTTTCTCACAAATTTTATTGCTGACCTAGGTATGACCTATCTTGTACCTGTGCTCATTTGTTTTCATACCTAGAGGCAGAACCTTACATTTCTTACTTTGAACAGCATTTTGTTGGATAGAGCCCAGTGTTCAGCCTATCTTATGAGGTGTTAGCAATTTGGCATCCACTCTCCTGTTTTGTATCAACTTAATAATAATAATAGTAAATAATAGGAAGGGACCTTGGAGGTCCTGCTCAGGCAGGAAACCCTATACCATTTTGGACAAATGGCTGTTCAGTCTCTTCTTAAAAACTTCCAGTGTTGGAGCATTCACCGCTTCTGGAGGCAGATTGTTCTAAGTTTCTCCTTAGTTCTAGTTTGCTTCTCTCCTTGATTAGTTTCCACCTATTGCTTCTTGCCTGCCTTCAGGCGCCTTGGAAAATAGCTTGACACCCTCTTCTTTGTGGCAGCCCCTGAGATATTGGAACATTGCTATCATGTCCCCCCTCGTCCTTCTCTTCATTAAACTAGACATACTCAATTCCAGCAACCGTTCCTCATATGTTTTAGTCTCCAGTACCCTAATCATCTTTGTTGCTCTTCTCTGTACTCTTTCTAGAGTCTCAACATTTTTTTTACATTGCGGTGACCAAAACTTCAAGACTTAATAACCTGTTTCAGTACTCCCCAGCCATAGAAAGTACAGGAAAAGGGAAAAGGGGTTTTAGTCTTGGCTCCTAATGATATCACTATATTACTGCTACATCCTCTACAGCAGACATGTCAAACTTGCGACATCACGTGACGTCACGTGACATATCAGAACTTTTTCCCCATTGCTGGCAATGGGCTGGGTGCAGTTTTGTTGTGACGCATCTGGCCCGCGGGCCAGCAGCTTGATACTCCTGCTCTACAGTTTTCTGGAATTACAAGCCACATGCAAAAAGCCCTGTTCATTCCACAGTTGCAAGGCACAGTGGGTGGCACAATGATTAATGTGTAGTATTGCAGGCAAACTCTGGCCACAGCCAGGAGTTCGATCCTGATGGACCTCTAAGTTGACTCATCCTTCTGGAGGTTGGTAAAATGCGCACCCAGATTGTTGGGGAAATATGCAAATAATGCTTCTACATTATAAACTGCCCAGAGAGTGCAGTGTAAAGTACTGTTGGGCAGGATATAATATATATGTTACAATATGATATGATATTGCTGTTTGCCAAACAGCAACTTTAGATGTATATGACTCAAATACTGAAATGGAAGTGATGTGTGTGTATGTACATGAACATGAATGTGTTGAGACCAGGGAGATGGCTAACCTGGCATGATTCTGATCCAGATTGCTATCCATACATGCTGGAATGCCCTCAAAGTCATTTCATTTAGAATAAAAAATGACTGCATTGCACAATAATAGCAAATATGTTTTATACATTCTGCTGTGACAATGTTTCTATCATCTAAATATTTCTAAAAGAATGTTTCAGTATTTCATATCTGAAGTAATTGAATATTATTATTTTAAAAAATATCTTACTGCACCAAAAAAAAATTATGCCTGATGCTGGAGAAATACTGATGTACCCACAAGGGGGAATGGACTGTGAAGATGGCAGAACTTGCAGAAATGGCGAAATTGACCTGCTTGTTCATAGATAAAACCCTAAGTACTTTTATAAAAGAATAGAAACTTTTTATGGACTTTTTGCTGAAAATGGAAAAATATGAAATGGTAATTTCTGAATTTGCTAAGTAAAACAGAGTTGAATATAGGACAGAGGGTAACTATGCAATCTAATCTTAGAGAAAAGGAGGAATATTAATTTTAACAGCTGTAAAGAAGATCAGAAGTCACTTCTTTAATTGTATTTTTTTTACCTTTTTACTGTCCCCCACATTTTCTTTTATCTTTTCCTTAATTTTCCTTTATATATGTTTTCATGTCTGTTTTTACTCATGTAAAATTTTTAAATAAAAAATATATCTAAAATGCAAATCATGGTTAAAATCCAAGTAATATATGAATATCAACAGCCAAAGTCAGCATAGTATAAAACGTAAAATGATATTAAGATTTGTAGTAGTTTCTATCTCAGCAATTAAAGACTTTATGGTGAAAGAAACCCATATGTTAGATGATGGATCCCAGTATTAACTAGCATGATCTCCAAGGTGGGGGAACTTAGCTGGCTTTCTGTTAACAAAACAGTGAGTTTTCTAAGAAATTTACTGCATGCTCCTGTAATGGAATCTCCCAAAACAACTCTATAACAAACTAGATTGCATCGGGGATTTTGAAGTGGAGATAACAGGCATGAGCTCTGTTGTTTTGCTAAACTGTTGCAACAAAACAATGTTTTTATCACATTGTTACAAATTTTAATTAATTTGTATGCATTGTGTACTGTTTTGAGACGTCTTTCCTCATCCTTTAACAAAAACTTCTGCTCAGTGTTTCTTTCTGACAGTGTCATAGAACCTGTTTTATCATTAATTTATAGCTTGCTGCAAAGAAGCCTTTTATTCATGGTACTCTCTAGTTGTATTGGACTAATTTCCATCACCTCCAAACAATACAGCACAGAGATAATGCAATTATAGCCTGACATATCCAGAGGGCATCTCAATGGAAAAAAAATATATAAAATAATAGTTTCCAGATTCATCAAATGCCACCTTTCTTCCTCCACTACGGTGCTATCAACTTTGTTGTTATATATTTGAAACCTAGACTATAGCACATTTAAAACCCAGCAGTGGGATATCTTATAAATTAATTGTATTTTAAGCCTTAGATCCTGATATTTAGATACTTAGATATTTCATCCAATATGTTCCAAACATGACCTTCCCTTGTCTCCAATCTTTGTCCTTAGACCTTTGACCTTTATCCAATCTTGGATCTTTGTTCAACCTTGCATAATACAGATTCCAAGAGAAGAGAATACTTGTAGTTCAGGGTTGAACTATAAAATTCATGGTGCTCTCTGAACTTGGCTTCATCACCCAACTAGTTAATACCATCAGTGTTGAATGTGAACTCAGATCTCCCCCATCACTACACTTCACAAGCATTCAAGGAGTATTATTTTTACATTCTTTCTCCTATCTCTGTTATATAAATGGTAACAAAAGTACATGTTAAAGTTCAGAAATTCTTCAGCAGGTTATGCCACACATAAGACTTCATGGAAGGAGGTTGCTCTTGACATTTGCTAATTGTGGCTCAGGAGAGAGTTACTTTTATGGTTACGCATATTAAGCAAGTGTACCTATTTTAATCTGGACAGTCTTGGAAGGGTGTTATTCCCAAGCAGTACATCTAAGAAAAGAATACGGGTGGAGGGAATATCGGAAATTCTATATTGTAATAGGACAATGCTGCAGTGTTGCTCACTGTATATACACACACAGGCAACACAACATTCAAGAGAAGGTGAAGCAGAATCAACATAAAATAGCAACAATGTTTTATTTTATTTCAAATTTCAATTTGCTTCTATTATTTTAGACTCAAACTTGAAAAGTCTGGGATCCATTAGATTACCTGCCGCAATGTTTTTCACATTTTAAATATTAATACCACTGGAATTCAACCTAAACTGTGCTTAGCCACAGACTGAAAGTCACTACTGATCATAAGCATTATGGAATACTGCAATTACTTCAACAAGTTTTCAAACTGTGATTTACAAGATTTTCACAGCAAGGAAAGGTTAATCCTTTCCCAATTTGAAAAAGCAATATTGGTGCTAACGTCAAAGGGAGCCTCGGATAATATGCTATCCAGACACAGAGATACACAGACATGAAAGCTCAGAGGCACTTCTACATCAAAATGTCAGGCTCAATTGTGTCTTTTTTTGGGGGGGGGAGACTCTGTTCAAGCTTTTCTGTAAGTTTAAATGAAAAGGAAAATGGTACCATTCTGGTTTTGCCACTGACTGGTAGAGCGGAAAGCATAAAGTTATGTTCTGGAAAGAAATTCATTGAAAGCACATCCCCATTTCTGTGAAAATTCATTGGTATAGAAACTTCACCTGTTAAATTTTGGCCTGCCCTAACAGTGGAGCCCTGACACTAAAAAATAAATTAAATAAAATATGTGGCATCCCCGGTTTCCTGAGGCGAGACGTGACGGTACAGCTGGCAACGGCAGCCGAAGACGACGGCGGCCAAATGCGCGGACAGGGCTCTGACGATCTCTGAAAAGATGAGGGCGAGGCCCACCGCTCGCGCCTGCCCTTCTGCCCGACCGAGGAAGCAACCACGCTTCCCCAAACGAGCAGGGGGTATTTCGCCAGACGGGGCGTCACGCACGGCTCCCGAATCCCCTCCCGGGGTTAGGAGAGGAGGGTCCAGGGGCGGCTCCTTGGGCGGGGAAGCGCTGCCGGGGACGGCTAGCTCACTCGGCGCTCGGCTAGCCGTCGGGTCGATTCGGTAGCTCTTCGCCGTACGCACGGCCCGATTACAAGCAAGCGAGAGGAGGCGTTGAAGCGGCGGCGGCAGCAGCTATCCGAGGAATGCGCTGAAGATGGCGGCCGTCCGGAGAGCGCCCAAGAGCGGCTTGCTGGAGCTGCGAGCGCCGGGCGAGCAGTGGCTGCGCGTCTTGGTGACTCTTTCCGAAGACTTCTTGAGCGTCATCCCCAGCACCAAGGGCTCCGAGGAGCCGCTGCAGCCGCCGCCGAGCCCCGTGCAACTGAACGGTGCCGAGGCGTGCGCTCTCGTCCCAGACTCGCTAACCAACATCAAGCGCACGGTGCGGATCGTGAAGCAGGACGTGGGGGGGCTCGGCATCAGCATCAAAGGTAAGCGGGAGGGCGAGGTCCCTTCGCCTCCATTGTTCTCCCTAGCAACTTTTATCACACTTTTATCACACTATCACTATTTTGCTTTTCCTCCGCCGACCTCACTCGCGACCCTGCTTTCAACCTGCCGTTTCTTGCTACTCCAAGTAGCTTTGGGCCAAGCTACAATACTGGATTCCCCACATAGTACAGTACAGCTGTCCGTTTCGCCCCCAGACTATGGGATTGGCTATTTTTGGGCACTCGAGATCTAGCGCTGCCTTCCTGTAGCGGGACTGGGAATCTCTCCAGAGTTAAGAGTTCTGCTACCTCTTTTTTTATAAGCCACTTTTGGTTTCATGCAGTAATGACCTTTGAAATCAGTTTCATTCCTCCCGCTTCAGAAAAAGAAACCAAAACTCCAGAGGATAGTGAAAAGGAGAAGAGGAAAGTCCCAACTGAAGTTGACACGAAATTAAGGAATGTATTAATTGCAGTCAAGCTCATCCCTAAGAAACTAGAACTGTATTAAAGTTTGAAAGTAACAACTTGGAAATAATGCTGCATTCATTCTTCTCTTAACTTGATCTTAGACAGCTGCAAAGTGTATAGTTTGCAGACTAAAAATCCAATCTGAAAAAGTATTCAACAATCCCATGAACCTTGGAATTTATGTAAATTTTGTTCTGCAGGATCTGCTGTTTAGGTTCCATTTTTAAAACAATGATTTTTCAGATGAAGGTTTTTGGACTAAATGATCTGGCTGGACTTGTAAAGCAGATAGATACTAGCTTATTTGATTTAACATGCTTAACATGCTGTGTGGATCCAGCAGATCATATTTTATTCAATAAGCAAGAACTAGGCATAACATAAATTAGCACAATGCATGAACCAAGATTCTGCTTCAGTGCTGCACTGGTGAAAGTCCAGGGCTGCTGTTTACAGGTAGTCAGGTGTGGCCACCTATATTTCCCCAGATTCTGGATCCATAGGCTGCAAAAGCTGTTGCTGCTGCCACTGCCTCTTTCTTATGAATATGTAAATCCATAGTGTGTGTGTGTGTGTGTGTGTGTGTGTGTGTGTGTATTGGTCCATTTGCAATGTTTGCCCTGACATCAAGTTCAAAACTTAGTCCAATTGTGCTATACAGGAGTTTCTTAAATATAGGAAGAACTTTTTAGGGTGGAACAATATTAACAATGCAAATCCTATATATGTCTATACCCAGTTAAGAATACACAAAACTACGTATTAAAACTCCTAAGTACAATTTATTTTGCACAACAAAGAAAAAATATAAATTGTCTAATTAATTGCAGATGAAATATAAGAACAAAGGAAATGTTAAGTATCCTTAATAGAGATTTAAATTACAAATTTAAATTTGTATTCAAAATGGACAATGATTAATATATATATGTGTGTGTGTGTGTGTAGGTATATATATATATATACATATTTGTATATATGTATATAGCATGTATATATGTATGTTATATATGTATATGTGTAGATACATATTTTCTTTTGAGAGCAGGCAACAGAATTTCATTTTTAATATGGGCCATTGTGCTCATAGTAAAAAATGACCATAAAGGTTATCTTATCTAAAAATTTATACACACTTGCCTTGAAATATATTTCTTTAAATTCATTATGACTGGCTTCTGGGTAACTATATAGATTTACATTGCTGAAAGGGTGAAAGAAGTTCTCAAAAAAGACTGTGTGTCTGTGTGTGTGTGTGTGTGTAGATAGATAGATATAGATATGATAATTTCAAAATTGGACATGTAAAAATCTGTGAAATTATCATGCGTACCACATAGGGAATTACAACAGTAATAGACTAATATATTTGCAGAGCAATCGGTTTAGAGATGGCTGGTCTAATGCTTTACATACCACTTCTCAAAACTGTTGCTTGGAAGAGCTTTTTGCCATCCTGGGAGAAGAGAAGGTCACACTTCATTAGTCTCTAGTATGGCTCTTGTGTTCTTATTTCTTGTGACTGCTCATGTGGCCTAGAAAGCAGAAGAGGGTAAAATCAGATATCCAATGAATGTTTCTTTTATTTGAATGGAAAGGGTCAGAAATACAAAAGGGAACACATTTCTCCGTGAGACTTGAACAGATGTAAAAGACAGAAGGCCTTGTCTATTGGTGACAGGTGATATATAGTAAAATAAGAATCAGATCTTCTCAGATAATATTTTGTAAATCATTTGATGCCATATTATCTTTGACCTTCAAATTGAGAAGGGAGAGCACACCTTATTGAGACAAGAGGTTTTCATTTGCATGCAAGTGTCATGGGAATTGTAGAAAACAAAGTTATCACCACATCTATAAATAATACTCAGCTTAGTCGGTAAGTATGAATGGAAAGTGAAGGAGTCAGCCTTTTCCTGTCTCATACATCTAGAGAAGCTGGCTTCAGTCCATAAATATTTGCATTGCAATAAATTTCCTAGTCCTGAAGGTGCTAGGAGGATTTGGGAGTGGGGGAACATTTAATCTTGCTTCTTTGTGTAATCTTATTAGTAACATTCCAGGATTTAAAGATTGTGCAGGTGAAATCAATTAATGAAAACAAATAATTTGGGCTTTGTAGTTAGAGGGATATTAAATATGCAGACATATTCTCTTCATTATGCAGATACTTTGAGGTACGAGCTAAAATAGTTCATTTACATAACATTTCAGATGTGCTGTTATCTAATATTTTTAGATCAAGCTTATCCTTTAAAACCCCACTTGGGTTTAGAGCTATATTTCGCTGTGGGAAAAGTTTTGTTTTTGCTTTTCCTAAAAAACAGGGGAATATATCATTGGATTTGTGTGGTTGTTCAGCCACTACAGAAGTCAAGATGGGCAACTATATTTAGACTCATTATTGATAATTGATTATGTGATCATACTGTTTTTGACTCCTAGCAGCCACATAGATAAGAATTTTTCTGTGATGACCTATCCCTAACTTGATCCTTCAAACCTCCCAACTACACTGTTCACCAATGTAACTGAGTCCATCCACTTTGCTCCTTATCTTCTTGTCTTTCCTTCTACCTTTCACAGCAATAGAGCCTTTTCCAGAGAACTGGGTCTTAAACTCATTATATTTAGGCTTAAAATATATTTGTAAGATACTTTTTATACATAATACCTATGGCACAAAACTTCTGTTTGAAATTCAGTATGTTGGATTCTAGAAAGATATAGTTGAGTGCCAAGGTCCTAGAAGAAAGGTAACAAAATGATGTAAATAAGAAGTCTTTTTTCCAACAATAAACAACAAATAAAAAATAAAACAAAAGCCAATACAGATATATTTATTCCCACAATATGTACATGTGATATAGTATAAAATTAGGATCAATCAAAATATAATAAAATATATTTCAAATCTTAAAATACAATATTTCTCAAAGCATGTAAAATCATATCTATAGAATTGTATCTGGAATGTGGACAAGTATTTTTATGCATTACTCAGGACAACATTTATTTTGTAAAATTAAATCATCAGAAAAAATGTTATTGTTCACTTATCTCTATTTTTACAGCTGGGTCATTCTATAAAAACTGCTGTTGTTCAGATATCTATTCTCCCTGTAACAACTCCAGAAATCCTCCAGAAATGTAACTTGAGTCTATCCTTAATTACCACCACTGCAAAAAACAAATAAACAAAAAATACAAAAAGAAGGTACAAAAAATCAGAGAAGGTTTGCATAGAACAAATCTTCTGTTATCTTTCATATGTTTGTATGACATCTTCTTTAGTGGCTTTTATTTGGACTCTGTTTCCAGGTGGTCGGGAAAATAAAATGCCCATCCTGATATCCAAGATTTTTAAGGGGCTGGCTGCAGACCAGACAGAAGCTCTGTTTGTAGGGGACGCCATCCTTTCCGTCAATGGTGCTGACCTGTCCGATGCTTCCCATGATGAGGCAGTGCAAGCTCTGAAGAAGACTGGCAAGGAAGTAGTATTGGAAGGTAAGCAGACCATTTTAAGGTGGTTGAAAGATGCTAAGGCGCTCTCCCCTTCCATTTCTGACATCACCCAGTGTTATGCTGTGGTTACTATATCAATTATACATAGGTGTCATTGATTTTATCTGATTATATTATAAACCACCAAGAATGTTTGTGGAATGTGGTAATAAATATAATAGAGAAGTAGGTAAACAAACAAATGTAACCCATCTGCTCTTTCCTAGAAATGCTTCTATCTCCTATAATAGTTTAATTGTAGATGTGATCTGGGATCTCACATCCTCAAAATATGTCAACTCAAAATTTATGCAAGAGAAAGAATGACTATAGCTTTGTTCTTATTCTTAAGTCAGCTTGAACTGTGGGTTTTGTTATATATGGAACACCAAATTTAGCTGAAGAGTCACCTGGCTGCAGCAGAAGCCTTCCTTTTTTCCCACTGTAGTAATTAAGATCCATATAACATAACTGCATTCTGGGATGGTGCACACTGTTCTAGCCGGGCACAGCTCATTGGCTTCCAGTCTTCACCCAGACAGTTGTTCAAACTCAAAAGACCAGTGGTCAGAAATTCAGGGACAGAACTCTAATTTTATTACAGATAAAATTACAGATAATTTTATTACAGATATTAGAAAAGCAATAATTAACAGAAAACTAACAACTGCCAACTGTAAACCTCAAGCCATATATATATTTCCATATATGGTACAAATAAAATACGAACACCAGGAGAGTATAAATATGCCCAGGAGTTGTATTTTTATGCAAATTTTCCAGCATTTCCATATATATATATATATATACTAATCCTAAGACTTGTTTTTTCCTACCTGTGTATCCAAAGAAGCTGAGAGCCTACTTTGTTCAGTGACCGTTTCAAAGTTACAACAACTGAAAAAAAAGCTTTCTTCTTTTATTATCTTTGCAGTGTTTTTCAGTCACATAGAATAGAATAGAGCTGGAAGGGACCTTGGAGGTCTTCTAGTCCATCCCCCTGCTTAAGCAGGAGAACTTATACCATTTCAGACAAGTGACTGTCTAGTTTCTTTTTAAAAATCTCCAGTTATGGAGCACCCACAATTTCTGAAGGCAAGCTGTTCCACTGGTTAATTGTCCTCTCTGTTAGGAAGTTTCTCCTTAATTCCAGGTTGCCTAGACCTGTACCTGATCTGTTTTCTTCCCTCCCTCTTGCAGAGCAAAAAGATAGGAGAGGAAGAGATTACAAGAGAATAAGCAAGCACACTATGGGGAGTATACATCAAAAGCAAAGTGCTGGTTCTGTCAATTTATTGATTCTTGATATTTGGAGATGACCAAGACTACCTGATCAGAATATATGTAACTGATTACTGGAAATATATTTTACAGAGACTTGAATTTATTAACTGCTATTATTTGGGTGATGGGGTGGTAGGGGAAGTATGGATTAGCTATTACTGTCAAGCAGAAGGTTGTGTCTGCTGAAATGTATCTGTCATTTTGGGGAATTGCAAGCTATTGCAAATAATTACAGTTATCTGGGGGGGGGGAATCTACTATTTCCTGAAATATTTAGGCCACTAATTCTCCTATATACCCAAATATCTGGATAATTACAAATATACTGGACTTGCCCTTTCATTTATATTTGCATTATGCAGTTAATTTGGTTTAATACTTGAGTAACTGAAAAAAATCATGAAGGCACATCCAAGCTTTTTAAAAAGCTTGGTTTGTACAATCATGAAAATTTGATGTAAGTAATTTTCCACTGCCTTCTCTTTCTCCTTAACTCCCAAGAAACTAAAAGAAAGTAGCTGTTGTTTCAGAAAGACAGTGGAACTTTTTTTCTTTATGGAGTTGAGACTGAGTCTACAAGTATCAACATTTCTTGTAGAATCTGACATGAACAGTATTATTTTATCAGTGGAAATGCTGGGATTTATAATTTCAGCCCTAGGAAAAAAATGGATGCTCCTCCTGAGATTGGGAACAGATTTCAGTGCCATAACTTGTCAAATTACTGCATGTGCCTTAAAATAAAAGGAAAGGAGAAGGTGGTAATAGGTTCCTGAAGTCTGAATCTAGTAGAGTGTTTTTGATGTGAATCTTTTTACAAGGAATCAACATCCTTACCACACTCCCATCTTAAAATCTTAATATATAAATGTCTGTTTATCCTACCTTGATAAAGCCAAATAGATTTGATTTTTAAAAGATTTGGATTTCTTCCATGTTTAAGAAACAGTTTGCAGTGCCATTTTGTAAAGTTGTGCAGCTAACTTTCTTGACTCTGAGCTCCAATCCTTCTTTTGAAAAATTATTGCTTATGTACATTTTCTTTTATTTGGCTGATACAGTATAGATTTATTCAACTTACTTGTCCATATTGCTGTCTATGAATAATGATGCAATGGTTCTTCTTCTACAGGCTGAGATAGGATGTCTATAACATAAAACTCAACATTTAATCAGCGACAATATAAGTCTGTTTATAATGTTAAAGAATAGTAGTGTTTGCTTAGCAACTCTTGTTTTCTAATCTGTGCATTATATACATGAACCTTAATTTATAATTCTGTATTTCTTATAATACTCCAAACTTTAAGATGGTTAGTTTACTATTACTATGGTTACCAGATTTGCAATTATATAATAGCTTCTTCTAGTTTAAAATAAAAACTGGCTCTCATTTTCTTGCAGAATACATCTGAATCTTTATAGGAGAAAATTGTCATCCCATAACCATTTGCTAAATTGGAGTGTGGAACTTGAGCATCTAAGGAAAGAGAGCTGGTGAAATAATGAGCTGAGGATTTATAATCCTTGCATGGCCCTGAAGGTCATTGGTTGTCAGTGTACTGTAATTTACTGTATAATGTTTTTGTGAAGGCATATAGCAAATGGGACAATATCCACATCAGCCTTTCCCAATACACTGCCACTGGAAGGAAGATTGCTTTAAAGTACTCTGATCCTTTGCAGATTATAGGTAGAGCAACAATAAAGCAAATTTTGCTAATTTCATCAACAAATCTTTAGAAATCTGTATTGTTATAGCATGGTGGAGAGAATCAGGTGCTTTGGACTGCATTTCTTTTTATTCCCAGACATTAACCATTGATCGAGGGTTGATTGGAGCTGCCATTCCCACTCCATATGGGAAAGACAGATAAAGCATCTGTTCCTATTACTTGAAATAATCAGGGAGGGATCTTGAACTTCATTATGAGTTTAGCTATCTTGATTCTTGTGAGCAGCCACTGATGGTTGTCCCTGAACTTGAATGAAATACTCATTAATTGAAATATATAAAAAGTGATTAGCTATAGAGTTTGACAGAAGATTTCAGAGAAATATATTTTTTTAAATTGCTATTTGAATTTAGAGTCAGGGAAGAATAGAGAATCCGAACAACAAGAAAAATTGTACTATTTAAAAATTATCACATTTATAATCACGTTTATAATCATGTCAGTTTTCAAGCATTATAATATACTCAGGATTTAGATACCTGGATTTCAGTTTATTTGGAAGAAGGAATTAAAACAATGACACTAATAAAGCACTATGCAGACTTAGAAAATTCTAAGAATTTTTCGTAGATCACAAGGAACCCAACTTACATTGAAGGAGGTGGATGGAAAACACATTAGGGAAAATACACCTTAGTTTTTGGCCCCTGTGTAAAACATGAGATTATCCAAGTTTCTAATTCACATTATGTGTTTAATCATTGCTTGTATTAATCTGTTCTATGCAGTACTTGTAGAAAAATGCTGCAGGGAGATATTGCTGGCCTCATTTCTTATAATGTGTGCTTTCCAATCAAATCTATCTTTGTAGTTGTGAAGAGTCAACACTCACTTGGTGGCATTTAATTAGTCAATTCCAATAAGTGCATGAACTTTGCCTACAAAAATTTATGTTCAGAGACAATCCAGGCACAAAAGTCCAAGAGAGCATGGAAAATCCATCAGCCACCAAGAAAACCATAGGCTCTTTCTACATTTTTAGCACTTCCTACAAAAAATATGAGAAAAGGAATCCTTTAAGCAAAACCAATTAATTTCATATTTAGAACTGGAGTTGATTTAGTTAATCCATTCTTACAGCCTTGGCAAATTCTTTCTGTAAAGTTCAGATCTCTTGTTGTCTCTTGTTGAGACGTTATAAAAAAAATTAATAGAACTTGTTCTTTTAAAACAACACAGAGATTTTTTTAAAAAAATGTCAGACCTTGAATTCTTGATCTCTGTGGAGGAAGTTGATCCTTCTGTGGCTTTAGTTAGAATTGATCTGCTGGAAAATATGATGAGATGGGTTGGAAAGTTTTAGCAACTTAAAGTTTAAACTTTGTTGGTCAGAGCAATAGTTTGCCAAGACCAGCATCTACATACTGTATGCTCACATAAAAAAACACAAGTCACAAAGGAAACACAACAGCTGCTAGTTTTTTATAAATAGTATGCTTATTCCCAATTCTTTTGGGACACTAATCAGTAGTCAGATCAATAAAAAAGGAGGGGAAATAATTGTACCATATTAATTTTACTGTTTATAAACAGAACAAATGATCAAAAATGTAAGTTTTGAGTCCGTATTTGCAGATGGACCATGTAAAGACTACAGAGAGATTCCATTTGTAAAGCTAGATAAACTTGAGAACTTGTCTTTTTTTGTTTTGTTTTTTGCCTTACACTTTGGGTTGTATAACTCAACATAATTTTGCAGAAGTATCTGCAGGTTCTGATGCTTTCATCAAAATGACAAATGGGTGTACAATAGGAGCAGAATTTGCATCATGATGCACAATATTGCTTTTATCATTTGCCCCCTTGACTATCCTGTGGGATTCTATTCAAGTTACTTTGTTTTACTAGAATAGCATTTTGATTTGGACATTTTGAATGAATAAACTCTTTGGGATAAAACAACTTCTAGTACTCTTGCATTCAGCAGAAACTGAATGTGTACCTTGACTTTTGAGCAGGCAGAAGTAACCTATGCTACTCTTG